CCCCTGCCCCCCTTTTTTTTTAATTATCAAATAAAACTTCAAAGAAAGTCAAAGACTTGTTGATATGTGGGATCTTTTTGAAGGTAGGCTGTAGTTTCCAAATGTCCCTTAATTTCATCAGAATTGCATCTGCCACTTTAGTTTGTTTCAGGGAGAGAGTAACAGAAATAGCAGGATGTTTGTCTTGTTTTATGTCTTCGGGTAGAAGACTCTGTGTATGCAGAAACACACATTTGCAAAGCTAGAGGCAGAAAAAGACAACTGTAACTTTTATACCTTTTTATAACCATCCATGATGATCTCTCTGTTGTTTTTTTTTTACCCCTGACCTGATTAAAATACGGAACGAACAGCACCTAAATTAAAACTGGTGGGCCTGGCCTACAAAGTACCGACCAGCCACTCAGTGTGTGGGAGGGAACCAGCAGCAGGTTCCCGACTGGATCAAGGCTGAGTGTGAGGTGGGAGGGAGAGGGTCAGGTCAAGGCTTCCCAGGTTTCATTGATTTTTGTTATGCAGCATTGTCTGTAATTTCAGAAGGCCGCTGATTATCAGCCTTAACTGCTTTAATTATAAGGGATGATAAGTAAGGAGTTATTGTAGTAATCTTATTTCACAATTTACTGCTTTTATGTTTGTTACTGTAGATTCTTGAAGCACTGGCAAAAAGTGATGAGCATTTTGTGCAGAACTGCAACAGCCTGAATTCCTTAAATGAAGTAATTCCCACTGAGCTTCAGAGTAAATTCAGTGTCATTTGCAGTGAGAAAATTGAACATATCTACCGAAGAATCTCTAGTTATAAAAAGGTATGACCACCACATCTGCACTTTGCTGATAGTTGTCTTTTAGGGAGAAAAATGGCAAATGTAGTATTGTTTGAAATATTCTTCAAAATGCAGGCATGCCGTAATAGAAATGTCAATGAAAGTTTAGCTATTATGAGGCTTGAATGGCTAAACTGTATAACTGCATAAGCTACATTTTTATGCACATTGTGTTTACTGTCTAATGTCTATTATCCCGTTTTAAACACCGACTAGATCATAATCTTTCTTGTTTGTAGGGTTTAGCTGTGGATACAGTCAACTGCATTTTTTCCCTGCAAAAGGCCTGGCCTTCTTGAATATGCTTTTAGCCAAAATTCAGTGAATTTGCCAAAATGTTACCCCCAAATTAAAAAAAGAGCAGTGGAATTATTTTTTTCTTCTAATGAACCTTACTTTTAAATATCAAATGTGTTAGCTTTTTATTCATGTTTTATTCATGCTCTTCAAATTGGGATTTTTTTTCTAGCAGATTATTAAAAGTAATAGCTCTGTACATTGTTAAATTTACATTGGCTTAATAAAACATTGCAGTACAGAAATAAGTGAAAGGCACTGACTTTCATATATGCAAGGTCTAGATTAATGAGGTAAGAGTGAATAAATACCTGGAGTATGACCTTTAGCTACTGTCAGTATATCTCTTTACAATTGCCTAGCTAAGCAGAACATTAATTAATTGGCTGTTTGTCAATTTGTTAATGCAAACTTAGTCTCTCATCTCAGCCACTGCTTTCTCTTCCCTATCAATCTAAGTATTAGGAATTTGCAGCTAGTTTGAACTAGGCCTGGAGCTGCCCCTGAGAACTGGCTCTGCCCTGTGTCATCTCGGCTCATGATGTGAGTTGTGGCATTTGCAAATTGGTCTGTCCTGAGACCTGCTATGCAAAGATTAATTAAAACAGAAAAACAACAAGAACAAAAAGATGTTTATTGTAGAAGCTTCACACAGTTTTGAAAGGTGGCACATAATGTTTCCTTGTTTTCCAAGGGGAGAGGAGAGGAGCCTGTAGGGATACTTCAGTAAGGGACCACGGCCAAAGAGCTGCTTTCCAAAGACTTTTCAGAGTGCTCTTGGTCTCTCTAACAGGAACTGGAATAAACAAAGGAATCTGGTGGCAGAAGGGGACATCAAAAGCGGTCTGATATAGCAGATAAATTCTGCTAAACATCCAGGTTCTCAAATGTTTGCCTAAGTTATAAACCTCTTGGCTTGTCATAATCAGGTCAAAATCAAAATATTTTTTCTTCAAAAGCATATTCCTTAGTTTAACATTCAGAGAAGGGTGTTTAGAGTAACCTGTAGGTATGTTTATACCTTTCCTAACAGCAAAACTCCCGAGCATATACAGTCTCTTTACAAGAGTCCAAGGCAATCCATGCAATTTTACTGTGTTACGCTGGATGTGAAATAAACAGCCACAAGGAAGTTTCTGTGGTGCTTATACTGTCTAGCAACAGATATTATTGATATAAACGGCACTTTTAGAAGCCTCAAGCTCATCTTCTCAAAAATTAATAGTTTTACAGTTAGTATCTTAATGACCATTAATAATGCACTAAATTTCCGGCATAGCTCTGTCCTCTCCTTGGCAAGGTAAAGGTAACCATGGTAACAGAAGTCTTCCCAAGTGCTGGAGCGCGAGCCTGGCTGTTGGTTTCACTGTGAAAGTCGGAGTGCTATAAATAGAAACCCAGTAGCTTTCTGCAGCTCCTATTCTTATTATCGCAGTGTTTTACTCATGTTTGAGGCCAGTGCCATGAGCCCCAGATGTTTCTCAGTACGTAAATGCAAAGAATTTGGGGCCTGACTTATGACCCGATTAAATCGCAGCCAGGCATTTGGTCTCAGTGGAACAGGGTGTGTGGGAGATTCAAATGTGAAATATGTACTGCTTGCAAGAACATTTTCATCATTAAGTGTCCTTAGTGCCCTTTTTAACTATTCGTACATTCTTCGGCCTTGGAACAATTCCGTAATAGGATTTCCTGTAATCTTCCAGATCTTGTTCTGATATAAATGTTTAAATGCAATTTATCAATCAGTTTTACAGAAGTGTTCATCAGGGTAAAGCTGTGTGTCATTAAAATGAATACAAATTTAAATCCCATTGAATTTATGCTGACACTTAGTAGAGAAGAAACTTCTCAAGTTAACTTGAAGGTATTCTTATGTGAGAGCTATTTTCCACAACTGAAGCCTGTGCAGGATTTTGACTGGAGAGGTACTGTGATTAAAATACGATTGACTTGTAGCTGATTACGACTTTTCCATGAAATTCTTCCCTAATATCAAATTGCATTGGAGACCACACACATTTTTGCAGAAATTCTCTTTGTGACCAACAAGACTTTGTAATTTACTCTATTCACAGTAGATTCACCATCTGAGTTGGCAAAGATACAATTCTGTGAAGTAACATTTCTTAGGACAGGAAGAAAATGATGCTCTGGGAGCGAACAAAGGACACAACTTTAGCTGATTTGGAGGAAAGTAGTAAAAGCAAAATACCTGTTCTTTGTTCAGTAAACATCTAGTGCACAGGGTGACAAACTCATTTTTCAGTAAGAAAGCCTGATCTAATGAGCCTTGTGATTCTGACATTGGTGTATTTTCTTATTGCCCTGATCTGTCACAGGTCTGTCTTTGCCATTTTGGGTTGACATCTTCTTATTAAAGAATAAATAATTCTAAGCCTGTTCAGGAGCATACACAAAAATTCAGAAGCTGTAAGGACGGCTGCATGACCAAGCACTGGGTTAGAATAAGACCGTAAATGTGAAAAGAAATAAAAATGCCTTCACTGTTGCTGAGAAGACCTATGGGAGAGAGAAAAGGTGGTGGACAGTAGCAGTCTGCAAAATATGGTGTTTGCAATTTTTATGCTGTAATCTCTTATCATCTTCATCCTCTGAGTGTATAAATTCAAAACTTATAGCTTCCAATTCTGTCTTTATTATAGCCTCAGGCAAAGATTTCAGAAATTTTTGTTAGACATTCACTTGAAAATATCTATGTGCAGCACTGGGTCATTAGAGAATTTCTAGACTTCCTCTTCAGGAAAAGTGTAATATTTTATTACGTTCAAAGGAAAATTAATACACTCCCCTTTTTCTAGCACTATTTACATTTGTAAAATGTATCATTAATTTCAGAAAGCCAAATCCAAAAAATCTAAAATGAGAAATATTTTTTCTTTACTTCTAGAGAAAAGTGGAAATTGTGGAGTCAAATCTAGCCAGGATGTTTGAAGTATTTCAAACTTTTCTTTTCTAGACAGTTGCCCAAGTTTTGCCAAGTAAGTGCTGATATGTCAAAAGCTATTAATCAAAAATTTGTTTTCCTTCTCACTTCTAGTTTTCAAGAGTATTAAAAAACAGAGCCTGGCCTACCTTCAAACAAGCTAAGTCAAAGATTTCACCACTTCACAGCAGTGATTTCTGTCCAACCAATTGCCATATCAATGTGATGGAGGTCTCTTACCCTAAAACCTCAACATCGCTTGGTAGTGCCTTTGGCGTTCAGTTAGATAGCAGAAAACATTCTTCACATGAAAAAGAAAACAAAAACACTGATCAAGGTAAGTGAGGTGAGCTGGATAGAAGACACACTTCCATTGTTTCTGATAGAGACTTAAAATGTAAGTCCCAAATGCTAAAACTAAGGATCAAACATTTTCAATATTTAGGTTTACATTAAAACATAATAAAAGATAGTAATAACTTCACCTTCTTTCCTTGAATAAACTTGTCTTTGCTAAGCAAAATAATATGCAAAATTGCCTAATTTAATCAGGAAAATATTTCAACATCTCTTAGTTATTTTTCTCACTTCAAAGTTTGCTTTGAAAAAAGATACTGATGTAAACTTGTTTGGATTGTTTCCAGGTAGCCTGAATCCCATGATTTATGTCCAGCATACCATTACCACCATGGCTGCCCCCTCAGGACAGTCTCTCGGTCAGCAAGAAGGTCATGGTCTGAGGTACCTTTTAAAAGAAGAAGATTTAGAAACCCAAGATGTGTATCAGAAATTGTTGCTCAAATTGCAAGCTGCATTGAAAGAGGTGGAAACATGTGTTTGTCAGATAGATGAGTAAGTAAACTATATCATTTGGAGGTTGTTTTTTTTTTTTGCATTGATGATTTTTGTTTTCAGTGCTCCTGATTTTTTCCACTTAAACTTTTATCTTTTCTTTAGAATGTTGAAATTCTGATAATTTTGAGGTTCAAGGAGTATGAGGCCCACACGTCATCTAAGATTTTATTAGGAAAGGAAACAAAGGCTTGAGATACAAAAAAATAGTTTTATTTAACTCGTTATTGCTGAAGAGTCCTGGGGGTGTATTTTTAGGCAAGTCCTTTTTTTCTTAAGAATGTTATTAATTTATTAGACATATTATGTAAGAGATCCAAAGTCACATCACAGTTCAACTTAATTTAGGATGGGGTTTTATAAGTTAAATTTCCAATTGTGTACTGAATGTGTTGATTGCTAGGCTATTAGATCTCTTGGAATGGAGATGAAGAAGAATGGGGAAGTCATTCAGTTTTGAAGGGTCCCATATGTCATGCAGATTTCAGGAGTGATTCTTTTTAAAAATATCAGCAACAGAAATGCTGGGATTTAAAAGCTGATCTTTCATGAACTGCAGTTTTGGAAAGGGGGATGTATTATTGCTTCTCTATGTATTTTGAATTCTTAATGTTTTGGCCAATTATATATACTTTTCAGATTTTTTTTTATCTAGTAGTTTTTATTTTTAATCTAGTATTGTAGTAGTAATATAAGTAATGTATTACGATACTGTCATAGTATTACAGTAATGCTTTAAGATATGGCCTAAAATTTTTAAAGAAAGCGTTGCCTTCTGTGCCTTTTTTAAAGTAACTTTGTAAAGAAAGGAAGTTCTGAGCCTTTCTTTCATACACAAGTAAATATGCTATGGCTAGGAATATATTCAATTTGTGAGTGACACAATTGAGAA